TGAAAATACTTCCGAATTTTTCGTCATTAGAAAAAATTCTACAAAATAAAAAACCTTATTTTTTGTAAATACCACTGCGTTGATCCGACGGACACCAATCTGTCAGTGGTATTGTAACATATATTTCATTAATAATTGTTGATATGTTCTGAGGTAAAACTTAAATATGAAAAAAAATATACGTTTTTTTCTCGTTTTCAACGTTTTTCTCAACAATTTTTCTTTTTGTTCCAGCTCAAGGTTCAGGAGGCTCTAAGAAAAAGGGAGAAGTTTGCGAAGGAACACGAAGAGGTAAGAATTGAGGACCAACAAGTAGTTTTTTCGTTTAAAAAGGAACGTGACGTTAAGAGTTTGGTGTGAAAAAAGATTCGCTCTGTCTTGTACAGTTTTAAAGCATCTGGAACTGAAAAAAATAAATAATGGAAACAATCTTCTCGAATTTTTAGCATTTAATATTATTTTTCAATAAACATTTCAGTGTCAATTGTATATTTTTGGCGTATTAATTATACAAGGTGTTTTAAATCTAGAACGAGTATTACTACCATAGCACTTTCTGTAAACAGGGTGTTTCAAAAAACATGTCCTCACGTAAAAATAAGATTTATTTTTGATATGAATAAAGGTCCGATTCTGCTTTGTTTCGTAGCTACAGGGTGTTAAAGTCTTATTATATTTTCGATTTACTGCATATGTGCTGTCACTGGAATATTTTTCAAGAAAAAAACATGTGCGGCACTGACTTTTTTCTTTTAATATAAAAATTGTGTAGGCAGTTTAATGCCAATTAAAAGTGATCTCTTGATATTTTGTCAAATTCGGCCTCCTCGATGAGATAAACGCAATTTTATTAATCACAATTAATCAAATAAAAATAAAATCAACAAATCATATATTTTACCTAATTTATTTATTATTAAATATTATTACTATTAGTCTAATCTACAGCAATTTCAAATTAAAAATAATGATATTTAAGATAATTACAAAAAAAATAATTTTAAA